ATTTCGGTCAATAGTATTGACCGAAGTAACTTGGAATTTTCGTCATCTTCCCCCCACCTAAAATTTCCACCCAAATTTAAAAAATGTCTGCAGATATATTTCGGTCAATACAACTGACCGAAATAAATTTGAAATTTTCGCCAAGTTCACCCGCTTAAAATTTCATATTTTCTTCCAGTATATTTCGGTCAATAGTATTGACTGAAATACATCTCATAATTCCACCCAAAAATAGCCAGAAATTGGGCGTATATTTCAGTCAATTAAAATGACCAAAATATACCTCAAAAAATCCACCCAAAATTAGCTGAAAATTGGGCATAGATTTCAGTCAGTTTAATTGACCAAAATTGGACTTAGAAAACTGTTTTCGTACTCTTATTTCAGTTAGTTGTTAACCTCGAAAAAGTAATTTTGAATACCAAAAATAACCCTTTCTTTAATTCGGTCAATTATGCTCACCGAAAGTTTTACATAAAATATTATTATTAAATTCGATCAAATTACTTATCCGAATTTAAGTTCTTACTTAATGAATTTCCCACTCACATTTTTGGTCAATTATTTTAACCGAATTGATGAGTTATTTCGGTTAAGATGAAATTTTGTCCGAAATACCATTTCCTACAGAGGCTATTCGGGCTTTATATTTCGGTTAGTGGTTTTGACCGAAGTATGATTTATTCGGTCGTATAGGGCACTATTTCGATCAATATGATTGGCCGAAATATACCCTAAATCTAGTAGTGTAAGTTTGTTCTTTAATCTACACTTAGAAAACATTGAGATAGATGTAAATTTAAGTGAGACTAAGTTATAGAGTACATATAAAAATTAATTTCTAAGTCAAAAAGGATATAAATATATATAAAAATTAAACTTATCAAATCACTATTACGATGACCCTTCTTGAACGTACCTGCACTGTTAGAAGATGGTGCTAATTGCTTTTACCTACCAAGCACCACACCAACATGCATAGGTGATGGCCAAGGAGTTGCTAACCTTAACTTGATGAATTTTTATCACTAGAGGGTAGTCATCCTAACCAATGCCAAGATAGTAACTATTATCGGTCTTACACTAATTGTATCAACTTGCGTTTACTCTTTATTTGTTTCTGGGAGCCAATTGACAAGCTGAATTTAAATAGATATTAATGTGCGATTTTTGTCTTGATATTATTGATATTTGAATGAGTTTTATGAGATTTTACTTTTTATACTTTTGAGATTACTATTTCATGATAAGTATATATTATTGTTTTTAATGCTTTTTAATGCTTGATCACTATTAAAACTAATTTGAAGAGCATAATTGAGACCAAGAGGAGATTTTATGCAAAAGCTTCTAATAATATACATTATGAATTATATGAAAGCCAAAGATAGACCAATGTGATTCGTGCAGCATTAGTGATAAGTGGACTTAATTTTCTACATAAATTAGATAATTTCACAAAATATAATGCCTCTTCATTTATTTAAATTCACATAGAGATATAGTGGGTTAATAGGTGTAGATAGGTTTGGTATAATTTAAGAAAGTATATCGAATAGGATAAGAAATCTCATTGTCACATGACTAGTAACATCTTAAAAGTATAATAATCTAAAATCTATATTGTTTGGTCATGGTGAAGTCAATGCCTCAATACCTCATATCTTGATTAGTTTTATTTTAATTGTTATTTTCTTTTTATTATTTTTAATTAAATTGTATTCTTTTTCAATTGTTCAAATAAATTTAGATTAATTACTTTTGGCACTTAGTTAATCATAATCCTCGTGGGTTCGACACTCTAATTATCATTATATTCCTTAGAGCGACTAGTACACTTGCTAAAGCAATTTTAGCGCATCACCAATAAAATAGAATATGTAGAAATCTAATCTTTTATTCATTTCTAGGAGCTAGTGTAATAAAAATGTGTAGAGATATGTGGCGTTTTGCCCCTTCCTAAAAGCTAAGTAAAATAACAAGTCTGGCCCTTTATCTATCACTAAGAGTTATGTAGATATAATAAAATTAGTCCAATGTCCATTGATGGGAACCAATGATAAAGATATGCTAAGTTGATGTCTGGCCCTTTGTTCATCGCTAGGAGCTATATAGATGTAATAAAATCAATTTGTTGTCTTTTGATAGAAGCCATGTAGATGTAGCAAGATAGTCTCTTTATCCATTGTTGGGAACCAATAAAATGTAGTAGCAAATGTTGCAATAGAAATCATAACCATAAAAAATGTCCAGCCATGTTGTAGAGATAAATGTAGCCACATCTAACCATGTATATAAGAATAATGTTGAAGTAGATTATGTTTGTAATGTTCCCAATGGAGTGAGTGAGTGAGTGCCGTTTCTAGCAATGCTGACTTCATTGTGGGTCATCAACAGAAAACAAGATACATCATGTTTGATGTGAAAATACATCATGTGGGCCCTTTTTTAGTCATAAATCCAAACCTTGCTGACGTGGCAATACACATATTGTGAATTCCAAAGCAATGTAAATTTATCCCTCAACAGTTTCTTGACATGGAATCTTGTACCCAAATGTTTGTTTATGGAAATTATACTTAGAGAATTTTTGTAGTAAGCTTTCTTTAAGTTATCTAACATAAGTATCTTTTGTGGGATTATATTTAGTGATTCCTATCACAAATGATTGATAATATCCATATAAATTTGTGATCTATGATATATGTTTGTAACCTATATTTCATGTAGACCTTTTTGTTGAAAGCGTTGTAGTCTTTGCAAGCATATTGATGATGTTTATCTTTATGGATTCAAAGTTTAGATCTTATACCAATGGCTTTTGATGTAGTAGCTATGGAGCTTATTGCTGTTGCAAAAATAAGATAAGGTTAGCCACTTCTTAAAAAGGTTCTCATTCTCATGTTGCTTTCTACCTTGTAGCTTTTAACTTAGATTATTGCCTTTGATTCTTTGCTACCTGTAATAGACTAGATACAACTAGATTGTGTTAAATAGTTAACAAAATTCACAATCTTGATGAATATGGAATCTAGAGTATGGAAACAAATTTTCTTTCACTTGTTAACTATTGATTCATTGTAAATTAATTTGGATGGGGACTCATACTCTACAGTAAATTATTGCTCTCTTTTATGTTTACCAAATAATTATTGCATGCATGCTGTAGATGGTTGCCTTAAAAGATATTGGTAGATAAGTTTTGACGTATGAGGAAAGGTTTGACTTAAGACAATCTTGTTTTTGAGTTGGTTGACTTTGATTCTTCATTAATGATGGGATATGGATTGCTATGTTGATGGTGAATCACTGACCTCAATAAATTGCTTGGTCATATGTGTATAAATAAGTAGATCGATGCTTTCTTTCATCCTTAGGAAACTTGTGGAACATTTCTTGAAGGACGTTGCAGAAGTCACATTGAAAGATATTTCTACAATAGCCCAAAAGCTTCTATTATCCCCTCTCACAATGGCATCTTATGGGAATGGTATTTCCAAGTCTAGAGTATATTTACTATTTTTATTGGCCACAAAATAACATATTGTCTTTTTACTCAATTGGAAAGCTATGGTGATGTCTTTTCTAGTTTTGCTAATATTTTGTAGTTATTATTGTCCCAAGCTATGATTCAATTAGTAGCAAGTTTAAGTAAACAAAATTGCTTTCTTATATCAAACTGGGCAGTTGTCCAAACTATTGTTTGTAATTTTATGCATATGCAATTCCTTAGAGCAATTTTATAGCAAGATGAAGTTGTTGAAAATCAAGAGTCTAGATGTTGGCCTATTTAACGATAAATAGTTTATCTCAAGCAAGCAATATGAGTTGAATTGGTTTGCTGTTAAGATTCATTGCTAGACTATTCTAGATTCTTTGTACTCTAATTGTACCAATTATGGGTAATAATGATCTTCCCCTAATTTGGTGAACAAAACAAAAGCAAAATTAGATAAACCTGAGTTCAATAGTAGTGTTGTTGTACCTATAATTCAAGATTGAAGGAAAATCATGGTCACGTGGTGAAAATAGATCTTTTAGACATTATTTGCAGCTTCGAATTTAAATTAGGTTAAAATCTCATTTTGGTCCCTGAACTATTGTACAGACCCCTAATTTGGTCCTTAAACTTAAAAAATCCTGATTTAGTCCTTACTGTTTACCATTTTAATCCCGATTTAGTCATTCCGTTAATTTTTCACATTAATTGATGGAGGAAGATAGAAGAAGCATTATTTGTCACACAAAAATTGACAAGTTGGCAAAAATAGATGACATGGCCATTCCAACTCATCCCGCCCAAAAAAATTTTTTTTTTTTTGTTCCTCTCTTTCCTCTTCCTTTTCTTCAACTTCTGCAAACCCTAACATCTCAACCAACCTATTCATTTTAGCCAATTTCTATCCTTGCTAGGTTCTTCATCATCATAATCAAACAACAAAACCCAAAAAAAAAAAAAAAAAAAAACAGAATTTTTTTTAAAAATTTTTTGCCCTTGAAGAACCCAGGACTTGGGTTCGATATCAAGAACAACAACAAGACATAAAGTATCACAAAATGGAGAAGACGAGTGTCTAGATTAAGGCTTACATCCAGAAGAGAGAAAAGCTCATCGACCAAAGGAGGAGGAGACATGAGCATGTTCTCAGCTTCCTTAGGCTGCTCTACAAGCTCTGTATCTGAAGATGCGATGGCTACTGTCTGTGCAAAAAGAAAAAAACCTAAACAAATATATCTCTAGATCCTTAACAACCTCACACACGTCTCCCCAAAATTTCACACCATGAAAATCTAAATTCAAGGTAAAGAAACAAATTTCCATCAAACTCAAGCATGCTGGGTTCAACGAACCCAACGCTTGGGTTCGAAGGAACCTGCGCCTCGGTTCCATTGAACCTAGGCATGTTGGGTTCCAAGGGGAAAGAGACGGGGAAAGGGAAAGAGAAAGGGAAAGAGAAGGAAAAAGAAATTTTTTTCGTTAAGTTTTATTTTTCATATTAATATTTTTATATTATTATTTTTTTCATGTCATCACTTTTTTTATCATATTGTGTTCCACGTGTATTAATATTTGACATGTAATATTGTGATGTGAAGTAATAGGTCATGTCACTAGATTTTTAATGGAAGGATCAAATTGGGGTTAAAATGGTAAATAATAAGAACTGGATCAGGGATTTTTTAAGTTTAGGGACCAAATTAAGGGTCCATACAATAGTTTAGGGAACAAAATGGGGTTTTAACCTTTAAATTATAAATAGGATTGGTTAGATAAAGATTTGGGAAAGATTTTTAGGCAGAGATTTAAAAAGACCTCAAGGGATCGAAAAAAGACAGAATGTTAAATCTCAAAGTTTGTACTTTTTCTACCATTAATGAAATTCTAGTGAGTCCAATTGATTAAGTCCTTTGAGTTATTTCTCAATGATAACATTTGACGCCCACCATTGGGTCGATTATCGCTCATGGTGAACTATTACAATTAAGCAATGGCTAACAATTGGTGAAATCAACATAAAGCAAGTTCCATTACAACCCCATCTTTGTCTTCACAAACTTTTACTTAGTGAGCCCCAAGATCAAGTCCCTCATGGCCTAGGTTGATGAGGCCCAAGAATATATTGGATGATCAAATTCAGCACCACACCCAAAATATGACACAAATGGAGAGAAGTGTTCATGCAATTGAGTAAGTGATGACATTTTCAACAAAGAACCATGACCAATTACAATTGTCGCCAATCCTACACATCGAGCTCATGTACCACTAAGGAGGTACTCTTCATCCCAAGTGTTAAGAAATTAATGACATTCCCCCCAATCATAGGATCCTTTGTTTCCCTTTATGCAAAAAAGAGGTTCAAATGTGGAAACGCAAAGAAATGATCCTGACTATGTCCCTTCACAATAGTCAATAAGTGTAGACAATATCCACACTCTAGAGCCAACCTCGGCTTTTTCAGCCCCATGTTGGAATTTCCATCCTCACAAGTTAGCACATGTTTTGCACACCTAGACAAGAGGCTTTACAAGTGCAAATGCTCTTGAGCTAGTAAGTAAAGTTCCAGCCCAGCATTATTCTAAGGGTGATGATCCTACATAAGCTAGTTCGGAGGATAGAACATTGACAACTAAACACAAGGTGCAATTAAGTCACACGTGGGACTCCCTTAGGCAATGAAATGAGACTTTACAAAAGGACATGGAAACCTTGCATCAACAAATGGTAGAGTTGTGAATGGCACAACCAAAAGGCGATAAAAGCTTCACAAATAGCTTCAATAGGCAATCCATTCTCTAATGAGATAATTAAGAAACCCATGCTTCAATCATTCAAGCCACCTTAGTTGGCACAATATGATGGAACACAAGACCTGATAAAGCATATGTAGAGTTACAAGCTAGCAATAATGATTTATAAAGTGCCCAATGCATTATTTTGCAGAGTGTTCCCCTCTACATTGAAAAAAGCAACTCATACCTGGTACTTTAAGTTAAAAGCTAAGTCTATTAACCTTTTTGAGTAATTAGAAAGATGTTTTATTGAGCATTTTATTACTAGTGAAGTCCAAAAAAGACTAACAACCATTTGATGCCTATCAAGCAAAAGATTGGTAAGAGTTTAAGAACATACATTGCTTGTTTCCATAATGAATCTCTACAAGTGGATAATTTGGATGAAGGAGTGGCAATGCATGCCTTGGTGAATAGCCTGAAAGATTGTGATATCTTATATTCTCTAAACAGAGTAGAACCAAAAAGCTTTAACAACATACTTCACAAGTTAGAAAGCTATATTCAAGCTAAGGAGCATACTACAACTAAGAAAGGCAATGAGTCTGTACAACCTGACTCAATTGTAATAAGAACTAAAAAGTGAAGGTTTCACAGCTAAAAATGATGTACTTGATGTTAGAGGAAGAAAGTAAGGGATTGGCAAAAATCTCCAAAATTAGTGCTTTACATAGTAAGAGGCACCAAATGTATATACCACATTCACACCTTTGAACACCTCAATGCTGCATATACTTGCAATGTCAAAGGAGATAGAACGCCTTAACTAGGTTGAAAAGCTTCGTGGTAATAGTAACAAGGATGATAGGACTTGTCACTGTGCATTCCATATGACCCATAGTCATGATATAGAGGATTGTAAGCAACTTGGAACGAAAATTGAAAGATTAATTCATAGGGGATTGCTAAGGCAATTTATAAGGCATCTAAAAAGCCAAAAAGAGTAAGGAGAATGAAAAGATCGCAAGATAATAGGGAAGCCACAAGACACAAAGAGAATGAACCTCTAGATGTTGTTGGGGTAATTAAGGTCATAACAGTCCAACCTTCGACAACTCCAACATTTATGGCTCTAGCAATCAAAGGAAGCCATGAGAGCCAACCTTCAACTCAAGCCATCACTTTCACTAAGAAGGATTTAGATCAAATGGATGTGTTCCCACACGATCCACTAACGATTGAAATAATGGTAGAAGATAGAAACATATATAAGGGGAAGGCAATAAAGCATGTTTTAGTGGACATAGGGAGTTGTAGAGATGTAATGCGTTATGAAGCATTCAAAAACCTAGGAGTATCTCCACAACTAATTAGACCTTGTAATTTTCCATTGGTGGGCTTTTCGGAGAAATCTATGCCTGTAACAGGTATTATCTCTTTTCCTATTCATGTTGGTGCTTCCCTTTGTATGGCTATTGTTACCTAGATTTCTTTTTTATTGATGTCTCTACCTCTTTTAATGCAATTTTGGGATGTCCTAAGCTTAACTCCCTCTAAGTAGTAGTCTCCACACAAACAATGATGATAATGTTCCCTATGCCAAATAAGGTTAGAATGGCAACAATGAAGCCTGTTGAAGTAATGAAGCCAACATTACAAGCTCAATACCTAGTACAAGCATCAAAACCTAACAAAGTGACTGAGAAAAAATGAGTCAAAACATTAAGATCTAGTGGCACTTGGAGATATTGTTAGGGAAAAAACTTTAATGGTAAACAGCCTAGACTTGAGGGAGGAATTGAAGGAATGTCTAACTGAGCCAATCGACAAGGTAAAACTTGTGGTTCTTGATGATAAGAGGCCTAAACGTACAATTAACATTGCAACAAAGATGGATCCAAGCTTCATGACACAATTGAAAAATTGCTTAATGGAGTATAAAGACATTTTTGCATGATACCCTGCAAATATGCTAGGCATTGATCTAGAGGTTGTGTGCCATATGCTTGGAGCTAACCCGGATGCTATTCCCATTAGATAAAAAGTGCAATGATTCAACGTTGAAAGGACTACAGGTATTGAAGAAGAGGTAGCGAAGCTCAAAAAAGGCGGGATTTATTCAAGAGATTATTTTTTTGTGAATAGTTATCAAACATGGTGATGGTGAAAAAAGCTAATAGAAAGTAGTGAATGTGTGTGGACTTTATAGACTTAATCAAGGTGTTGGGGTGTGCTGGTGATGTAGGTTGATGAGTCAGCAGTAGTGATGATGTGGAGGCTGACTAGGATGACACCCGCAGAGATGAGGAAGGGTTCTTTCGGCGGCACTCGTCTCACGAGCACATGGCTACGTGCTACGAGCCATCCTGTTCTATCCAACGATGATAGCACACAGCAAGCTCTCCAATGACGTTACAGATCATAAATTCCTTGGCCAAGCTATTGGAGCCGAACAACGATAACAGACTTCTTACAGACTCGAAATGATTATACAACTATCAAAATCAATAAGAATATGCATATATGGCTAGAAGGGTGACGAAGATGATAAACATATGGGGTTCAAAGACAATTTTGAAGTTGCCTTTACATGTAGAACACCATGACATAGTAGTAATGACACCAAATAAAACCTCTATCATCTCTAGTGAACATTTTCACCCTATAACGCACAATTCTCATGTTAAACACGAAAGGCGCAACGACCCTCCTTCCGAAATTTCTTCAGGACCAAAGAAAACAAAAAGGATGAACTCAAAAATAGTGATGGGAGAAGGAAGGGTATTCGCTTGGGGACGCTTATGGCTAGAACTCCCAATCCCGTTCTTTGATGCTAACCATGTGGCTTGATCGTTTGATGCTCAAGAAGAATTACATATGAGATGGAACTATAAGCTGTTGTTTTCTAACAGTAATATCTTGTGAATCTAGGAATACTCTACGATATTGGAGATTATCATGCGAGGCTAGAGACCACTCTGCAATATTAGAAATGCAGATAAGCGATGGTTTCTGGGTAACTTTTAACATGCGAGATGATGGATTGCAGGTAGAGTAATTTTTTTTTTTTTTTTGAGAGAGGAAGAACGAGGATTTGGTGCGTGAGAAGAAAATCTGGGTTATTCTATCTGTCTCTTTTCGAATGGCAAGGGAGGGATGATATATATAGTCAGGGCTAGTTCTGTAATTCTGCTTGATAGGTCAGAAATGTACATATGGGTCCAGATGAGTTGTCAAGCTTAGAGTGGTTTCGGGTACTATTGATGGTTGTTCTGCATTAGCATCATGAGTTGCTCGTTGGTTCTAGCAATGGACTAGAAATTGGCCATTATTGGAAATTCAACCAACCATATGAAACTCCATTTTTGGAGGATGCTTAAGTGTAACCGGCAGAAACACCACCTTTACAGTGATTTGGTAAGTTCCCCAAGCTTTGTACGGGATTTTGGGAGATTTTGCAAGAAAATAGTGATCTTCCATAGCAGTTTCCAAGGCCATGAAACTTGTGCAGCCACCCTTACATTAAATATGGCTGCAAGTTGCTGATGGTGACTCAAGCGGCATCTTATTCGGTCTTCAACAAGATTTCTAGCCTCTGGTTAGCATCAAAGGGTACTATTTTGGGAGTTAAGTTTGTTTCCACACCTTTGCCACCCAACCTTTTCTGGCAAAATCGGGCAACATCGGCAGCGCTAAGCTTCGCCAGCGAGAATGCCTTGCTTTGCCAGACAGGCAACGTTTACCCATCCATGCCTACCAAGCCACTACCCCCATAGTTTATCCCGAGTAATTTCCATGAGCTTGGATTCACGGGTTTGCGCTTATCTGTGATAATAACAAAGTACATATGAGCATATATTTGAATATTTTAGATACAAGCAATATGAGAATATATGCAGTGAAGAAAGGCACTCCCTTATATGTTTAGGAAGACCATGTGGGCAAATGTTCGCTACTCCCATTTATTTGCTAGCTGTGGCAGGTGCTACTATATAGTTGTTATGCATGGTTGGCGTTGCGCTAGAATAAAAAATGGATGACATGGGTGTGTGCTGCGATATCGTTATCCCAGGCCAAGCTTCGCTGGCTGGCGGTACCTACTAACACTCATAATATAAAAGAGATATGTTATAGATTGGGATTACTGTTGACCGGTAAATTTGTCCCTTTGTATAGAAAGATGATGATATGCATGACCGCCGGCCATGTTACATAAGTATTATAGGGTCAGTCATGGATAGCTTTCCCATAGCTAGAGGGACAACAGTGGCTAACTTTGTCCATGGCTGGAGTGTATAGAAAGATGATGATATGCATGACCGCCGGCCATGTTACATAAGTATTATAGGGTCAGCCATGGATAGCTTTCCCATAGCTAGAGGGACAATAGTGGCTAGCTTTGTCCATGGCTGAAGCGTGAACTATGTGG